GGGGGGGTGGTTTGACATTGTTCAATTAGACCATATATAGTGCATCAAAATATTTTACTATAGGTTAGGGGTGGATCATTTTATCATTTGTTTATTATTCATGCAACAATACTTACTGTTATAGTTTTCATTAATAAGCATTGCTATATTGATAACTTAATCTAGTGCTCTTATGAATGTTTTTAGCATGACTTTAACTTCTAGCATATGCTTCTTTATGGTTAGTGTTTGCATATTTCATTTAATTACTTAACCTACTTGTTTTACAGATCTCTGTACTATTGTTAAATTCTGCTGTTGTGTAACGTTTCAGACAGAATTTCTTTTTTTTGGAGTTTGCCTTACGGAATGTGGAATCCTGTCAACAATAATCTGTCCATGGGCTTTTTTGATTACGGTCAGTTTTGTGCCGACGATGCAGTGTTTCCAGATATTGCTATGAAAACAAATAAAAACTGAAAAATAAATCAAAATTTGTTTAAATCTTTTGTAAACTAGGGATATCGCTAACCCCAAAATGCAGCTTCCCACTTCATTAACTTTCTAAAGTGTCAAATTAAGAGGAAAAGACAAGACAAAAGAAGCTTATAATAGCTGGATGATAGCGCCCTCTCTCAAGCATCGTTCACTTCGCCAGTGTCTCGCAGCGACATGTATAGTTATCCATCATTTTCACACCACTGTAGCATCTGGACCAATCAAACACACAATTTTTCATTTGATTTAACAAATCAGTTCTTCATTAGATTAACAAATCGCCACAATCCCCTCACCCAATAAACTGGATGCCAGGATGTCTGCAAATGACACCAAACCATGGCAACCCTGACACCAGATACTTTTACGACCTCATGGAATGTGAGCAGGGAAAAGCACTGTCTTTTCATAAGGAAAATCCCCAAGGCACAGAAGGAATGGACTTTTCTACTAATTAATTCATAGGAAAACTTTTATTTGAATGAACACACATAGCCTTCAGGTCACATTGTCTGATTCGGTCTGATACCCTACACCAAGGTGTGTTTGAACTAAGAATCTGACGTTTCCCTCAGGTGTAGATCTGCTGAATATGCAAATGGTTCCATAAATTTCATTCCTTATGTCTCTTCTCTGTACTGAGTTAAGCTTTAACCCTTTCCAATACCAACTGTCGAGAGTAACGAGAGTTTAAACACTGTCAACCTAAAAATGTGTGCGTGATAGTCCAGGTTAAAATAGAGCGTGACTTGAGATGCGCTGTTGTGTCCCTAGTTGCTGGCTTGTTTAAACTCACAGAAGTGCTTATTTAATGCAACAACTCTTGAAGGACTGAAAGCACCATGTTTTAAAACTGTGTGCAACTTTTTAAAATAGGCTTAGCCTAATCCCTGGTTTCTGATTTTCCCCTTTCTTTTCCTTCTTTTTCTATGTTTCTCAATCTTCAATTCGTCTCAGCGAACTATTTAACTATCTTAGGTGTATCCTTCCTGGATGCTATTGCTTAGTTACTAGCTAATTAAATCTAAATTTAATTACATCTTAACTGTCTATCTAGAGAAGAATCATTAAGGTATTGGGTGCTTTTAGTAACACACTAATCACTAGTGCTGCTATTTGTTCCTAATACCAGATTGATTACCTTGTTTTAAAAATAGCAGTCAGCTAAATTTAAATCCATTTACATGTTATACCCCCTTTGTTTTGATGTTCTCTCTGAACCTCAAAAGGAACCAGAGACATTTCTATTTTGATTTGTTTATTTTCAAATATGTGCCCTAATTTTTATGACCCTGTTACA